ACAAACTTTTGATAATAAACTGATTAAACTTTACATGATCAATAATACAAACTGATGAAAGGAAATTGCAGCAAATTCAGACGAACCTCATCAGTGACTGGAGTTACTATTGGATTCTCAGCGCCTTTCTGCAAATTTTGAGTAGTTACAATTAGAATTATATTCAATAGCAATCTTCGATTAGATTAATCTTCCGACTGATACTCTATCAGCAGAGTGCGTTCAAACGTACTTCAAATGGTCGATGAAATGCATCATCATATTCAAAGACTGCTGATCACACTGTCAAATCTCAAACCTCAACAGCAGATTTCTTATCGGCTGGTGGCGCTTCTTGTTTCTTCTTATCGTCCGCCTTCTGCTTATCAGCACCTTTTTCCTTATCGTCCCCTTTATCTTCCTTGTCATCCCCTTTTTTTTCATCGTTCTTCTCCTCAGCCCCATTTCCTTCTTTCTCATTTTTTTCCTCTTTCCCTTCTTTCTCATTGTTTTCCTCTTTCCCTTCTTTCTCATTATTTTCCTCTTTCCCTTCTTTCTCATCTCCTTTCTCGTTTGCCTTTTCGTCTTTATTAACCTCCCCTTCAGCCTTTTTTTCACTTTCCTTTTTCACCTCAGCTTCTTTCTCGCAAGGTTTTGCTGCATCGGTCGGCTTATCACCACCAGGTGGCGCATCTTGAGTCGGTTTGGCTGGAGTTGAGTCGGGAGCTGCTGCAGGAGTGGCGGGTGCGTCGGAACCAGGTGGTTTAACCGGTGGGGCATCAGGTGGGTTAACGGGCGGGGCACCAGGTGGTGGTACTGCTTGTGGCCGAATCACTGCAGGTTTCGGACCCTGAAACGGACAGAACATCAATATTCCCATCCAATAACATATCTGCACATAGAATGCATGTCAATTTGTGGTTACGAAGAACATATTCCATAAGCATTAGACACATTCAATGTTTACAGCTCATAATAAATCTTCTATAGTCGAACGGATCATGAAAAGAATTGCAGAGTAAACTGTGACGGTGAACAAGTAGATAACCTGTTTTTTCTTACAACAACAGAAAATCGTATGAATAGCTGAGAATATTATGAATAGATTCACACAAATATGAATGGTAACTTGTAGAAGTATGAGCAGTTGTATACCGCCGCTACTGTTATTGATATTACGCTCAACACGGCTGTAAACGCGATCAGTAAGTTGTTGTGCCAGTGACCATATTTTCTCAGCGTAATAATCACTGGAAATGGCCATACGGTGCCGCGCATATACGATTCGACTTGGTGCAGTGAATAATAAATAAATGAATAAATAAATCAATCTTCTTGAAATCATCATTGTCCCACTATCTTCTTCTTCTCATAACCAATAACTCGAACCCAACCTCACCACACCTCAACCGCTCAAAAATTTTGTAGCAATGACACTTTGAAACGTCTTCATTCCATCTTTTATAACGGACATTCAATTTGCATATTTGCTGTGCATTCTGCATATAACGATTTAATTCCAACTCAATCTCATTATCACTATGATCTGTTCCATTCTTAATCTAACCATCATCAGTATTATTGCTCATTTTCAGTGACCAGTGACAATTCAAATAAGGAATAATAATTTATTTTGAGAACGACGATAAGGTTATAAGCACAATTCAACAAACAATAATTACTCAACTGAAACGAAAATAAAACAAAATCTTTCATTCAACTGCAACAAATACAATGAGAACAATGCAACAAGAGCATATATCGTGAATCAATTATCGAATAAATGAGCCAGAGTGAAGAAGCCAATGGAACAAGCAAATAAATAATTTCTAATCAATCATTCATCACATTAATAATGTTATACTCTCAAATCTATTCTACTACACTAATAACCATAAATTAATTATCATTATTCTATGAAATTCGAATGGGATTTTAACATGACTGGACAATAAAAAGCACGAGGGAAGGGCGACGAAAACAGAAGAAACATAAATATGAATACGGCTTGTTATCTGTTAAGCCATTATGATGCTCTATTAAATTTGTAACTGAAATTTGGCCAAATAGAACAAAATCTAAGTGACAGAGCTGAAAACACTTCATTGGTTAATTTCGGTGTAGCACTGCAACTGGTGCTGGGCCAACAACAACATTATTACATCACAATAACAATAATAATAATAATACTATAATTACTTATTATTACGACAACGATCATCACAAAAATTGTAATAATAATTGACACAGGATCAAGTTTTGGCTCATAGCAACTACAACAAACAAATTGATAAATAATTATAAAGCTAAGAACACAGATTCATAATAATTATTTGTTGAGTCGATAGAAATTCAGAGTTACGGGGGAATGAAGATAAAAGCAAACAGAAGGAAAGATGGAACAAGGGAAGGGGATAACAGCACTGACGATGAGTATGATTCACTCCAATACGGCAAAAAAACATGTGGAAGATTCGAGCAAGTTTACATCAGGAACAATGATAACAGGGTAACGCTAACAAATAATGATTATTGTAGGGGTGCAACACAAGCTAATATATCCATATTTCCGAGTGCTCAGATCAACCACCAAAACGAAACACCATCCATCTCAATGCTCTAATCTTGTCTCCTCTGACGAACACGTTTTCCTTTCGGTGAACTCGTTCCCGCAACCGCATCATCAGCAATACCATCTTCCTCCTTAACCACACTCATTTACTCTCTCAAACAAGCATTTTCAATCAGACAAAAAACATCTTAAAATTCCAAAATCAATATTCTCAAACGAATGTTACCTTATCGAGATCATCAGTGTTGGTTGTCTTCTGTTTACGGGATGGGGATTTAGATTCGGAACGACGGCGAGAAGGAGATTTAGAACGTTCCCTAGTCTCCGAGCCAGATTCCTTATCTGCCTCCTTCTCATTCGACACACGCTCATCCTCATCATCATCACCAACTAGATCCGGTACCTCATCATCTGGTTGTGGCTGCAAATTTCACAGCATAAAGCTTAACCAAATAAATGAAGTGAAACGAACCTCGTCAGTTTTCTTGTAGTCAGCATCACTCGGCGTTGATTTACCACGACGGAAACAGACGAGAGCAATGATGATGACCGGTATGAGCACACACAATACGTAGACTGCCCATAACCAAGGACGTTCCTCGGTCGCATTCAACAAATAGTTCACAACGCCTTCATCCGGTGACATTGCACTCTCGTACGCCTCTTCCTTTAACATCATCAGTAACAACTATTCTTTCCTCTTACCAACATTGTACCGATTGAATCGTCACCTACCACAATAAACTCACACAAGTAAATTTAAAAAAGTTGTAGACGACTCGCCGTCTATAAAAACAAACCTGAGCGTGCTTAATAGTGAATGTTTGTGAGGCAAAGTTTGCGGCACCATCAATACTGTCACCGATATACATATTATCAATGATAATATTCTCACTCATGGTCCACAGTTCAATACCGATCGCAGATATAGGTGACAACTGCTTGTACGGCTCCGCTACAAAATAGTTCGGATTCTCGATTTGACGTGGTTGCCACTTGCCTTTATAATTTGGATTCGCGATGCGTGGTGCTGTCCACTTACCCTGAAAAATCACAAAACAGTTCTTCGACCTTAACGCAAGCCAACATGAGACGATCGACGAATAATGTTCACAGAAATACGTGAGAAATCATTGAGTATTTGCAGTTGTTTTATGTGACTTTCATTTGTGCGGCCAAAGTTGAGTGTTTTAATAGCAGAACCGTGAGCATTCAATGACAGTTTTAAAATGAACCTTATACTGAGGATTGACGATCATCGGTCGTTTCCATGGTCCACAACCACTGTGTCCCTCACACGCCGGATTAGGAATCAACGGCGCTTCCCACTCTCCGTCCAACTCACTGTCCCAATCGGCTGGTTTCGTCGCTTTCGGATCCGGTATATGAACCGGCTCGGACTCTAACCAATCCTCTGGTTTTTCGGCTGACTTATCTTCGATCTCTTTCGGCGCATCTTCATCCCAATCATCCGGCTTCTTCGCATCTGGATCATCGATTTTCTCTCGTTCATCCCAATCCGCTGGTTTTTTATCGTCCGGATCATCGACTGTCAACGGCGGAGTGATTGATGGTTCAAGATTGGTTAGCAGACTACCGGACATGATTTCGGAATTGTCGACAAGGACTTGGAAGGTATCATCTGGCTTGATGATCAGTGTGTAGAGATGAGTGTGACGATCGTCGAAGTAGGACGTGAGTGATTTTGATGGTTGTTTTGCGTGATGTTCAGTGACGGCGCCGCTTTTCGGGTTCGTTATTCTGACGATAAAATGAACTTTCGCATCTTGTCCGCATTTGTCAGGTCCGAACATGAACGTGTACGGTGTTTTATCGGTGAATTCGTGCAGTTTACTCTCGATACCAATCGTTAAGGCCTTCAAGTAACCACCGCCACACTCTTGTCCATCCTCGTACTTCACTTCGTATTGTGCCACCATCGGCTTGCTCTCCTTACTGAAGTCGAATGGCTTTCTGAGGCGAGCTGCGATCGCGTGATGTCGAGCTTGTGTTTTGACTATCAGACCCATATCACCATCGATCACCTTCTTCGACGGTGAGCCTATTTCCCAAACACCTGCAATTACCTTCTTCTTGACTGCTTCTGTTTCCGTATCCTTAAAGGAATTTCATTGAACCGAATGAAAATAATACCACGAACCATTGTATTTTGCGATAGAGTCCTCAACATCATCCTTCTTGCCACGCGACAGAACCCATTTCTTATTGAGAGCGCCCGAATCTTCAAACCAATCCACTAATAATGGATTGCCCACAACTGTTGGTCTGATGAATTTTGGAGCTACGTACGACTGAAATAAACAAAAAAAAATTAACAAAAACGAATAGTTGCCCACTGAAATAACTCAAGAAAGTGGAAAATAGAACACGGCGTCCATGATTTTTCATGATTCAGATGAAGCTTTCTATGCAATAGAGGGAATTCGGAATACCTATCAAGCTGAAAGAGATCAAAAAGAAACAAACCAACCGGCTTAGATGGTGCATCTTCATCTTTAGCACACACCAAAGTCACCAACAATAAAACAAACGAGAATGACGAAGAATAATTCCTCCACCAATAATTCATTGCCAAATTTGATCGAAAACTGAAATGGAACTTTCATTTTAAACGACATCAATACATACATATGAACTCGAACGCTTCGTAAACACAAGCTCTGATCCTTTTACTGGGTACAAAGCCCAAAACACGGTACAAACCAGCTCAGGGAACTTGCCCCATTGGAACAGAAGTCAAATCACACTCAAGATATCTTCTGCGCTTAGCAGATGTAAATCGGAACAGTATGATGTGTCATACCAACAATCATTCAGCCAGCAATAACTTTCGCAAATGTATTATTTTGAAGGAAACGTCATATTTATGCAAAATACTACGACCTTAGTGGAATTGTGTATAAACACTTCGCCAACTACGAACAGAGTGACGGTTCGCCAATCGACGGAAGTCAGATTATCATTTGATAGATATTCGGAAATGTGAATTACTTACCCATTTAACGGGAACGTATCCGGGCAATTCATACATCCGATTACTAAAAAAATTCGCTTTAGATGTTAAGATCAACTGACAAGTCACGAGAGTTATGCCCCTCGGCGTATACAACATTACTCCTCATT